CTGGAATTCCACCATGGACTGCTCACCAGGCAAGTCAGGGTTCAGATTTGCAGGCCCCTAGATGTACCAGGGAGGGGACACTGCATAAGCAAAGGCTCCAGGAAGGGTGTGTGGGCTTCAGTGTGGGTTATGCACAGGGTGTGGGGCCGTGATGAGCCATGGAAGGTTTCCAAGCAGGGCAGCAGGAGAAGGCAGTGGGCAGACGGGGCGAGCAGTACAGCCGAGGCTGAGGTGGAGTGGATGGAAGCCCCAGCTGGCTGGATTCCCAAGCCCCTTCCCTTTACTTCTTGAATGTGCCTGCTACCCCAGCACTTCTTCCCTATTTCAGGTTCTGCTCCTTCTGCAAAGCCCTCCCTGATTAATGTTCACTTCCTCACCCCAGGGCCACATTCCCCAGCTCTCTAAGATGTACAAATCCCAGGCCTCAGGATGCTGCCCTTCTTCCTGTCAGACTGGGGCACACCTAGCTTGGTGCTTTTCTTCCTTCCTCATACTGGAGACTCGCTGTATCAGTGTTCCTTGGCTGCAAATGATTAAAAAAAACAAAACAAAAAAAAGAACAAGTCAAGCTAAGAAAGGACTTCGTTGCTCCTCTGAACTGAAACGGTGTGCAGTTATGGTCTTCACGTACAGCTGGATCCGGGTGCCCACAAGGTCTCCAGGCATCTAAGTCCTCATCTTTTGGCTCTCGTGCCCACTCTGCTGGCTCCAGTCTGAGAAGGGGGCACCATTTTGTGATTTACACCAAATGAGGTGCATGTTAGTGGTGGCACTGGATGCCCACAGCCCTCCTGAAAGTAGGAAGACTCAGGGTGGTAGATGGGCTGGGAAGAGAGTGCCAGTGCTGCCTTTGTTGGCACCATGCCTGAGTCCTGGGACGCTGCAGGTGCAAATAACAGATCATTCTGATCAGATTGATAGTACAAGGCAGTGTATTACACTGACAAGGACTATGAAAGAGGGTCTGATCTCATCGGAGGGGGGGCTGCCCTGAGGAAGAGGCAGTAGGTACAGACTCAAAGGCTGAGCGAGAGGACACAGGCGAGGCTATTCCCAGTGAGGGACCAGCATAGAGAGGAGAGAAGGGGCCCCACCATGCCCTTTTTGGCATTCTGAGGCACAGGGCAGCCACAGCACGCACACACACAAGCACGCACACGTCAACACACCTGTGCAGTTACATAGCAACACTTATGCACACACATGGTTACATACATGTACAAGGGTACACACAGAAAAACACATGCATAGTCCATGTAGAAATGCAAGCACACGTACTCACACTTGCTGACATACACATGGCTATTTGTGTGCGCACATGCACTCACATGGTTATGCCCACAATGACACCTGTAAACAAACATGACTGTACTCTCACATGCACATTGTTTACACTAGCATACACATACATGTGCATAAGGCACACATGTAGTTACACGTGTGCAGAAGCACAGCTGTGTTTGTGCACATATACATGGTCCCCACATGCACGCACACAAGCTGCCCATTGATGAGTGGCTGGTGGGAAAGAGGAGAGAAGGCACCCGGTTGCCCTGGCAACACATCCTGGGTCCCTACCAGGCCTCGTTAGCATGGCTCATCTGGCAGTTGTCAGCGGGTGGAGGGCTGTTCAGGACCCCAACCCCGCACAAAGGCTCCTGGTGGCTTCGTGACAGCCCTGACAGTCTGGGCCCCAGTGGGGATAAGGACAGAGGAAGGAGCGGGCCTGGGGTCAGAGCAAGAAACAGGGCCCTGTGGGGAGAGACACAGCCTGCCCTGGGGTACGTGAGGACAAAAGCGCGGGGGCCGGCCTCCTGGCTGACATGCTTGCTTCCTGATTCCCGTCTGACAGCAGGGGCTAGGGCAGGCCAGACGAGAATGAGGGTCAGGCCAGTGGGGGTGCTCCTGCGTTGGCAGCTGATGGGATCCAAGGGGTCCCCATTAATGATGGCACCAATGTCCAGTCTTTGTCCCTAGGGGACAGAGCCCAGAAGGGGCCGGTCCTGCCAGTTCTCTCCTTGGTGGCCGCAGCAAGGGCATAGGTTTGAGTACTGGCCCCCGTTAACTAGGCTGCCTTGGGCAGGTCACCGAACCTGTGAGGTGAGGATGTGGACAGGCTTCTCGGGCTGCTGTGAAGGCCATTTGTGTAGATGGAGAGTCAGAGCAGTGCCCAGACACCTGCTGAGTGACTGTCAGATGTTATAAAAGGGTCTGGGGGGCCCCCAAGGCATTGCCCTGTGCAATCCTGCTTCCTTGCCTCCCCCCTAACCAAGCAGAGGGTCTGAAAGGGTTGAGGACTTCACTGATCTTGAAGGCTCCCACCATCCTCCTTGGAATTCAAGACAAAATCCCTCTCGTTACTAAACAGCAAAGAAGGCAAACCTCCACCCCCGCATTCCCGAAACACCTTTATTGCACTAAAAACAGCATTTATAAACAAACACACTTGGGGAGGGTGTCTTAAAGGTTTACCCACTGTCAACTTCGAACACAAAGATATGAAACAGTGCAGAGGCATGTAAAAATGGGAGGCCCCAGAGGGAAAGCAGGGAAAAGGAGAGGTCAGGGTCAGGAAGAAGGGGAGGGGTATGAGCTCCAAGCATCTAACTCCTTGCAGGGTCCTGTCGCCTCCTCGGCCCACAAGGTAGGTTCCAGAGTGAAGCGGGGAGCCCCTATGAAGGCAGGAGCAGAAGCATGAAGGAGCAGGCACAGGACGGAGGCCAGAGGGGGCAATGAAAGGGACCCCAGCTCCAAGTGCCCCTCCCTCTCAGTCTGCAGGGTACACTGGAAATCTGCTTCTTCAACTCCCCCTTGGTGGGACTTGGAAACCTAGATCAAGAGAGACACTGTTTGAACAGGGAGGGGCATCTCAATGGGCTTCCCTGGTCCATCCATGCCCAGCGGGCAGCCTGGGAGAGATGAAGGGGCAGGCTGGCCCGGACTCGCTGGCCCCTGCTTCAAACTGTACCGTTTGTTTCATTGAACTGGAAAGCCTCCACAAAAATCACTTAAGGCCCCACATGCTGACACAACAAGCAAACCTGTGCAGCCACCTAGCAGCAAGAAAAGCCACAACCAGGGTCCCACCCAC